TCCCCTCTGCTCCTCCGCGAGATCCCAGGGTGGGAGTGGCCCTTTCGGCCCCAGCATTGCGCTGGGAGTTCCTGTTCTGCTGATTAGCCCCCCTCCCCATTGAGAGTCCCTGCGTCCCAGGGCAGAGCCCCCCAGCCTGTACGTGCGGCCGGCTCGCGTCCTGCCCAGGGACCGGCATTTACATGTAGCTGGATTCAAACACACGGTGTCTGCTTGTGCCCGTTTACCCAGCATCCAGCTGGCTCTGTACCGGCGACCTCTTCTCCGCGCCACTTCCCACCCCCAATGTCCGGGTCTGCTGCATTCACCAGAGAGGACAAGACAGCAGGTGGAGCCAGCCAGACAAGTCAAGGCTGAGACACTATTGTGAATCTGGGACCCCTCCTTCCTTCCTGGGCTGGGGGCTGCATGGCCCTCAGCATGCTCCTGTCCTGATCCAGCCTCATACTCCAAGGCTGCAGCCTCCCGGGGGCCAGGAAGGAGGGTTTGCCTCCCAGATCAGCCCCCGCTGGAGCCGGGATGCTGCACGGCTGGCGAGTCAAGCTCTGAGCCAGGCCCCACGGGGCCAGCCCGGAAAGGCTGCCTCAATACACTAGAGGCGTCGACTCCAAGGGGCGGAGTTAAACCGCATTAAGCCCCAGTGTGGACTCTCTCGCTCAGAATTAAGTTGGCTTTGCTTAATTCAGTGGGGAAACGGAACCGAATTAAGGGCACCGTGGTACCGACTGAGGGTGTTGGCACTGGGGTTTGATGGGGGTCAGCGCCTCTACTCCCACTCGACAGCGGCGGTGAATTCGGATGGACTCATGGAAACAAACCCCCCATCTGAAAGCGGCTGGATGGTGTGAGGGATGCCCTGGGTACAGCAGCACGACGGGGCCCATCTCAGAAACCCAAAGGGGCGGTCGACAGGTGTAACAGGGATGGGCGGCTCCCAGCTGCCTGTGCCCGGTGAGTGGAGAAGCGGCAGCCGGGCGCTGCAGAGAGGGGGCCACTGGCGAGGCCATGGGCTGGGGAAGCCTCCAGGCACGGGGCTGGATCTGTCCATGCGGGAGGGGATGGTGCAGGGTGCAGAGTTTGAGCTGGGTGTGACCCCCTGGCACCCCACTATTCATCACTGTCATGTCATGAGGATACGGTCTGTACAAAGTGTGCCTTGTGAGGCGTCATTCTAAAAGTCTTGATCTGCTAGACAGGAATATCTCGTTGGATTGGACGTGTTGTCGTTGTCCGTGACGTTATGAAGTTCGGCTACGTGGGTGTTACTGAAACATGTTGTGAGGTTGAACACACCCACAAGCAGCCTTTCAGGTACGACAGTAAAAAGGCCGAACAATGTTAGTGGCTTACTGAGGAAATGCACAAAGCACCAGGAACCGTGTACAACAGAAACCTCTCACTGGGGACTGTCTGACCTGGGGCACAGGAGAGGAGCTTTCCAGCAAGTGGGGAGAAGATAGAAAAATGGGGGACAATGACATCCTGGGGGTTCCTCACTCTCCCACCAACGCCACACCTGGAAACACCCGAGGAACAAAGACTGAATGGGGGGGGGGGGAAGCGCTGGGCCCAGGCTAAGGGATTTCTAGCCTGTATATGAAAACCTGGGAAAGCCACGCTGCAAAGCCAAGGCCTTAAGAATCTGCCAGCCTGGTCCTCACTCAGCGTGCGAATTTGCTAATTCAGCTCCTACTTATCTAGAGTGTTAAACTCAATTTGCGGTTTTGTTTATTTACTAGGAAATCTGCTTTGCTCTCTTTGCTCTCACTTAGAATCACTTAAAATCCATCTTTTGTAGTTAACAAACTTCTTTGATGTTTAATCCAAGCCAGTGTGCGTTTGACTAAGTGTCTGGGGAAAGTCTCAGCTTGGTTCCCCAAGTGTGCATGGCCCTCGTCACACTGAGGGAGAGGCGGACAGGGTGTTAAACTCACACGCGGGCCCGATTTAAGCAGGGCAGGACGTCCTAGGCTGGTGGTTACAGAGCCTGCGTGGGTCCCGACCTGTGTGATGCTGGTGAAGGGGCAGCCGGGGGTTTGCAGCGTGTCACAGCAGCACAGTGAGAGGCAGCCCAGGCTGGGGGGTCAGAGGGCTCAGTGGTGCCCCAGTTCCAGGTGGTCCCCGGGGGGGGACCCATCACAATGGAGACCTGCCACGAGAGCTCTGGGCCACTGGTTCCTGGGACAGCACCAGCCCCCAGCAGCCGGCTCAGATCTGGACCCAGGCCAGGGCAGGGCGGCAGGAACAGGACAGGGGCCTGTCTCCTGCGGGGCACAAACTCTGACCCAGCTCTGAGGATCCTCCCAGCTCCCCTCACTCACCAATGAGGTTCGGCACGAAGAGGAAGATGTTTTCGTCCTTCATCATCTCTGTGGGTGCGGGGTCTGCTGCCTTCCCCCTCAGACAGCCCTGGGGTCCCCCCAAGCCAATATACCAGCCCTGTCCCCTGCACCAGCCCTGGGGTCCCCCCCAGCCAATGCACCAGCCCTGCCCCCCTGCACCAGCCCTGGGGTCCCCCCAGACAATGCACCAGCCCTGGGGTCCCCCCCAGACAATGCACCAGCCCTGCCCCCCTGCACCAGCCCTGGGGTCCCTCCCAGCCAATGCACCAGCCCTACCCCCCTGCACCAGCCCTGGGGCCCCCCCAAGCCAATGCACCAG